TTTCATCTCATGTTTACGTGTTTGAACGTTTGGTGTTTGACTGCCGACGTGGCATTCCCAGTGTGTCTGGCTGTGCTTTCTGTCAAAGTGCGCAGTCCTAGCAGCTTGCCTGCTAGAGAACCCTGTTTATCTCACTAGACAAGAGCCGTTGATATGGTGGAGCCTTTCTGGCACGTTTACACGGGAACGATCGCTGTTTACAACGTATGGTCGTGGCCTACTTGACAGGCCAGTTTACCCCATCATTACTGCATCTCATCCTGCCTGCGTTGCAGGCACTCATCTGGAATCATTCCTTTCGGTTTACAACGAAAAGTTTACAACGAAAAGTTTACAACGAATGACTTTCGACGAACAGCTCCTACGGACGAATCAATTAGCCAATAAGTGCACGAGAGTTTGAGCCTCACCAAGGCCCTCCATGACTCTGACCTGATTTCAGATCCGCAGCTATTTGGCTCCCTGTACGAACCATATACAAGGTTTGCTACCGCTGTGCAATTCGACATGTCGCACTACTCGTTCCATTTCTACGGAAACATGGAACCGATGCACCACTCGCATCCAGTGCCTCCGCCTCGTCCTAATTCGGGGACTATCCGCATGCATGTCCTGCCGGATGCTAATCCGACTGACCCCCAGCCTGCCCGAGCGGTCACCTTGACCCCAGCTTCCCAGCGACAGAAGTCGAGATCCCGAAGATCGAGATCTCGACAGCGCAGGCACCGCAGGCGGACACCACGCAGGTCCCGCTCCCGATCCAGAGGTCGCAAGACCCACAGAGACTGTCGCAGACGACCCGAGCGCACTAATTCGGAAGTCCGTCTGGATCCCCGCTGGAGCCAAGATAGACCCGCAGGACCACCCGGAAATGTTTCACTGTTTCCTCGCCCTCCGATGTCGGATCCTTACGATCCCACGCCGAGCCGGCCAAGTCAGCCGAGTCAGCCGAGCCAGCAGAGTCAGCCCGCACCGCAGAATCCCCGAACAGGGGACACGCATCGTTACCACCTGGTGCAACCTTGGCCACCTGTACAGCCTAGTCCGGCAACTTTCGGACAAGTTGCACCACCTGTGATTCCTGCTCCGCTCGCTTCGCACGCGCAGTCCTCAGCGGCCTTGAACTTTTCAAGCAGCTGCCCTGCACCGCCGATGCCAGGACCGCATTACGAAGCTCCTCCGCCTCTGCCTCCGCCTGGTCTGGGTGTATCACCCTATCAGCAGACTCCGTGGCCGCCAATGTGCAGTCACCGCCCACCTCCTGTACCATGTCCGAGAATTCAGCCCGGTCCGCCGCCTCGAACACCTCCGCCCGTGCATGCAAATTCGAGACCAGCGGAGCCTGCGCACCCGCCGGCACGACCAACACGCCAGACATCTGGCAATCCAGACTCTCGAGGCCCGCATGGACCGTGTCAGGCAGTCCCCAATTTGATGGATGCCCGGGCTGAAACGCCGCCTCCCTACCCCGGAGCAGCTGCCTCTCCACGCACGGTCTCTCTCGCGCTTGCTCCTCCGGCCAGTGTACAGGCGACAGCATCTCAGGATCAGCATCCTCGAGATGACACTCCGTCCAATAGCCGCCTCCGTAAGACATCGGCCAACGATGCTTCAGGAGGACGCACCGATGCTTTGACAACAAGTACAGCCCTCGCCAAGTTGACCACCCGAGACTTGTACAGCGCCTTAGAGGAGCAAACCCGGGGGTCCGAATTTCGGATTCCACCTCCGCATCAAACTGCGACAGCTGCAGGCCGCACCGAATGGCTCCAGCCAGAGGTGGCCCTCACTCGCTTTTGCGCCGCTCCGCCATTTGTCGAATGTTTAAATTGGGTGATGTGTCATTTGGACTTCACCCTTACGGAGTTCCCGCAGTCCCCCGCGGTCATGCAGAATTTAGTGATCGCACTGACCGCCAGCGGTATTGATTACCAACGCCGCATCCGCACACCAATTCCTGCTTGGATTGATTCCGAAGAGACCATCATTTGGAGACTGTCATTCAGTGACATGCCAGGTCCTGTGTCCATTCAAGCCACGGGCGACACTCACGTTCGCTGGTACCATGGCACCACCCTTTTGTCGGCTATCGGAATTTTGAAAACGGGCAAAGTCATGAGGAGCACACGTGAAGGACTCAACATGCCTGACACTCATGACTGCTATGGCTTTTTTGCGAGGGCCCACCTTGCGGGCGGTACCGCGGCCGAATTGGCTGCATTTGCTGGGCAATGCGCATATCATACCAAGAACGCGAGCGGCCTAGTTTTCTCTGGCGGGTGCCGAGGGAAATCCACTAAGCCCACGTCTGCGGACACGTGGCGGGAACAAGAACTCGCACGAAGGTACGAGATTGTCCACTCCGCTAGTAAAGACAAGCGATGGTGTATTAGGGAGTCGGCAGCTTGCTTGACAGATTTATTTGTCGTTACAGTAAAGGAGGATCAGCAGTGGGGATCCTGGGGACAGGCGACAGGCCCCGAAATGCTGAACATCCTCG